ACGGTATTTATTTGTTTCATTTCTTTGTGTGTTTGTTTGTTCTTGATCTTGACAAGGGAGGGAATGATTGAAGCGAGTCAAAAGAAACTAATTGTGTTTGGACGGGAGAAAGTGGAAGGGAGGGAAAACTTTTGATGAAGTAGGTTTTCTGTTAAATTCAATCCCATCAATACAAATTTGCTCACCCCCAAATTAGGTGGGACTAGGGGTGTTTGGTTCAAAAAAAAACTTTGGGTGGAAAACACATGGAAAGCTAATGACACGGTTTTCCTATGTTAGAATAGCCAAATGTATTTCTATCCATCAGTTTGGTTCACAAGAAAACAATCGGGAAAACTTTTCAGAAGCGTTAGAAAATGTCAATCTTTGGTGGAAAAACTAATTCCTAGTTTCTGAGGCAAATGTTGCTAGGAAATCGAGTTAGAAAATATTTAAAAAGGGGTTGTTGGTTTTTAGGGAAAAACGTGTAACATTTTAACATGTCTTCTCTTAATATGCTGAATTCCTGATTTCAAGTTTTGAACCAAACCTAAACTTGTGATTAAGTAGGTTTTTCCTTTCTTTTTGATATGAGGAAAAAAACTTTCCCAAGAAATGCATGAAAAAGTAAAAAAAAATAAAATTTCATTGGAACCCTATTCCTATATTACATGGGAATGAACCAAACAGGCCCTAAGGAAAAAGGATTCTCTTTAACTTCTCATCTCTTGTCTCCCATGTCTTCCCTTAATTTCCCTTATCACGATGAAATGCCAAAAGACAGTGTTCGATTAGACAAAGAAAAGGGAAGAGAAGTTACATGATCAATAATTCATTTAGGGCATGTTTAGCTAATACATGAAACCTATAAGTCACTTGTTACTTTTTTTTTACTTGGTGGAATGCACGTGCGCTGCACGTGGTCAAATATCTTAATTATTTATTTTAAATTTATTTATTTACTATAACATGGTTGCAAAAAAAATTATGATTATGATAATATATTAATTTTTTTTTGGATATTTCTATGTATAAGATCTTGTTGGTTTCAACAATTTGCCTTCCACAGAAAAAAAAAGTCTTAAAATATTAATGACTTAAGAGCAATTTAATGACTTAAAGATCTTCAAAATATTAATGATGTAAGGGACCAATATAAAAAACTATTATTATTAATGATAAAAATAAATTCTTGAATTTATCAAAGTAAAATGGTTTTATCCGGTCATATAGAATTTTGCTTAAATATAAAGAAATTACTTTAACCTATTGTTTACTTCCAACTATTGTTTATCCGGTAACCAAGTTTTACGGATATTCAAAAACTTTTTTCTAGAATTTTCTTTGTCAGAATGTGCAAATTCAATCAAGAAAGAAAACATAAATTATATGATCAATTCCAAAATTTAATATTGTAATCTTTCTATATCTTCCCAACTAATTAATTGATTTGTCAAAATGATTACTCTCTAGTTTCAGAAAATCATAAAATATAATATGAGAATGATTTATACATATTATGCACTATGGATTGTATTTTAACAAATAATTCATATCTATCCAATATCAAACAACATCCAAAATTTTAGGTTAAGGAGTTAGAAGAATCTAATATCTGCAACAATACTCATACCCAAGCTATGTGCTTCATAAACTTATAAGAAAGAGAGAACTATAAAATGAACAATTTAATTTATTTTGTCAAATAGTTTATTACAAATCATGAACGATAAAGGGAATCAGAAAGATCATATACCCTTCGAAAAATAAAGATTAAATTTTTCTTAGAGATTTTTACAGCAAAAGATTTTCAGAGTTGATGTAGAGGATAAATCTTAGGACACATAACCCAAATGAGTTTATAAAGTGATATACTTACTATAAAATCCACTTTTATAAAATTGATGTCACATGTGCCTTAAGCTACGCTTTGTTTAAGGGTTAACTTTAGCAAGCTCCCTCCTAGCTATGGGGGCAATGTCAAAAAAAAACCTCAGTTTTTTTAAATACAAGGGGAACCTAGTAAGTCAAAAGGATCCCCAAGCCAAGGCTGAGTTCGAGCCCCCCATCCTTACCAATAAACCCTTGGTGAATTGACCCCCTACCCATCCAGCCACCAGGTTAGTAGGACACTTAAGGGTCATGGGTGGCAAATCTCGAATCCAAACCTTTGGCCACCAAAATTGCTAACTTGAAACTAAGTAAATCTTCGTCAAATTTGGGGTCTTGTAGATAATCTATCTCAACTTTAAATTTAGAGTCTAATCTATTATATGATAAGTATTTGACTTGGAAAGACCAAAATATCCCTCAAATATAAAAGAATTAGCTTGGTTTTTGCTAGATTAAAGAAAAAGAGAAGATATAGAGGGAAAAAAATTATAAATTGGTTGTGGTCTTTTTATTATCGGTTGAGAGTTTTTTTAACTAAAATAACTTTCTTCAAAAGGGTATTTTCTCAAAATCACATATTTAAGTAATACATTAAGGGGTTTTGTTGAGCGAAGTGTAAAAGATGAGGGGAGTTTTTATGAGACACACTATAGTCGATGGGTGTTTTCTAAAATCCCACCAAAGTTAAGAGGGATTATCTACAACACCCTTATAGTTAGAGTGTTTTGTCTAATTAAATCAAGTGAGTGAGTTTTTTGAGACAAGCCCCTAGATGAGAGACTTTAAAAAAAACTCTTTTTTTTAAATTTGGCTTGTTTATATTTTTGTCCCTCAAATTTTTAATAATTCAATATTAATCCCTTAAATTATAAGCAATTTCAAAATTTTGAGGGAATAATATAGAATTATTGGAGATCTAAAATCAAGGAACTTATATCTTTAAATATTGCACTTATAGGCAATGTATTAAATTTCGGCCAGTATATATTATTATATTGGCCGATATATCACGATAATATTTATGGTTTTTGTGTTATTTTATTTTATTTGGGTATTTTTTTCTAATATATTAATCGTTATAAAAAATATTGGCCAATACATCCCTTTGAAGATATCAACAAAAGTGAGTCATTTTTAATTTAATTATAGGCTAGGTTTGGGTCATGTTTGGAAACCAAAACCAAAATCCACGAAAGCCACAAATGTCACAATTCATCTCCCAAATCTCCCCACTCTCAGCTCTCCTAATTTTTAAGCATATATTTTCATACAAATTCTCACGTTTAAAATTCATTAATATGTTAGATTATAACCTACAATGTTATATTATGTATGAATATTATCTCATATGACACATGGTATTTTTTACATATCTTCGATTTCTGCAATCTGATGTCATAGATTTTAGTTATCCAATATTTAACTGATGTCCGACACTTTGTAGTAGTCCTTCAAAAGCCTCTTCTAAAGTTTTCTAAGCAAAATATATAATTTTAAGAAATAATTCAAAATCTTGAGACTTATTTAAAATATGATGCTTTAATTTTTTCACATCTCATCTACTATATATGTATAAGCTAAGCCTCTAACCTCATATTATATGATGAATATTATTAATCCATAGGATCACATACTATTATTTGTGGTTAACAAATGTTTCAAATCTTTATAGACTTAATTGAACATAAATACCTTATAGTTTATGAAAGTTATATACCTCCACTTGCATCTTGTTGCACTTAAATATTCTAAGGTTTTCTAAAATTGTATGTTTGTACCTTCTGTCCTGTTACCTAAATGCAATAATACTCTTTGTAATTTTCCTATATGAGTGTCATGGTATAATTCTAGGATAATTCTAGGTTTTCTACTCTTTTCATAAACAATTGATAAACATGCAATGCCTACTAATATATGTTATATATTAATAATAATTAATATGATGTAGAGTTTTACAATAACATTGAAAGGTTTAGTGACCAAGTTAGACAAACTTGTAATTAATTTATAGTATGAAAGTTATACACCTCTACTTGTATCTTATTGCACTTAAATATTCTAATGTTTTCTAAAATTGTATGTTTGTACCTTCTATTCTATTATCTAAACGCAAGAATACACTTTGTAATTTTCCTATATGAGTGTCATGGTACAATTCTAAGACAATTCTATGTTTTCTACTCTTTTCATAAATAATTTATTAACATGCAATTGCCTATTAATATATTATTATACATTAGTAATAATCAATATGATGTGAAGTTTTACAATAATATTGGAAGTTTTAGGGACCAAGTTAGACAAACTTGAAGTGACATGTAATATAATTAATTAACAATAGTAATTAACTTAGTTTAGTTAGAATTAGAATATAATATCAAAAAAGAATAGGGGTAACATAGTTCATAGAAAGTTTTTCCACAACTCTCTTTTAAAGGGAGTATGATATGATTTTGTTAGAGGTAAAATAGTCTTTTAACATCAATAAGTAAATACACTTTAAGTGCCAAAAAAGTTGGAGAATATCAACTTATTATTATTTTTTCCAACATTTAAGTTAAATCTAAGTAAATAAGTAGGAATTAGCAAACATCATTTTGGACCCTTATAAGTGAAATCCTAGTTATAAGTTAAAATAAGTTGGTCATCAAACATGCTTTAAAACTCAATCCCTCCCCCTTCCAATCCCTCTGTTTCAAGAAGATTAAGAAAGGGGTTGAATTTGCTTCTTTTTAGCCCTCCTTCCCTTCTTTTTGCTAACAAAAAACTGTAAGCAAACACAATTTGAGGGTTAGCTTTATAACCTTCTCATTCCTTCTCCTTGCTAATTAAAAATTATAAACAATTGCAACTTTTGGAGGGTTAGCATTATTTGTAGTTTAATGTAAGTTTAAGAATTATATGCTTATTTATTTGAGAAGATTTAGATGCACGTTTATTTCTGATCTTATTCAACTTCTAATAGCAAAACACTACTGAAAACTATATTCAATAAGACTGATATAAAAGTTTTCATAATGCAGCTCATATTTACTATTATGTGCAGATGGCTTATCCTCCTTTCAAAAGTACTGGGATATGTGATGATGATGGGGTTTTCGAAGGCTTCAACTCCGGTGACTTAGGTTTCCCCATGAGTAACATCGATGAACTACTCGGCTCTACACAGGCAGACTATCCATTTCAGGATCGAGATGTAGATGCCTTCCTTATGGAGAAAAACTTTTCTGTTGCAGATTCAAATGGTCATATCGAGAATGCAATGGAGGTATCATCTCATTCTTATGATATCTTGTAGTTAATTGTTAAATTTTAGTTTTCCTAAATGCAAACACCGCATATCTATTAATCATTTTTTTTTTGGAAATAATAAATGATATAGGATACCTATCTTTGCTGTGCACGTTATTTTCAGCAATATAAAGCGTGTATATAGTGTCATGTTGCTGACCGAATTTATGTCATAAGCTCTGGAAATAACATATTATTGACCGTATAAATGTTATGGGTTTCATTAGTCAATAGGTTGTTTTACTACTTAACCGTATATATTAGCACTCTTTGCCCAACCCTTCAGAAATTCGCAGTGCATATGACTTGATATTTTGGAACATTGTTATGTTATAAATTTCTGGGTCAGAATGCTGGGGAAGTTGAAGATGATTATGCCCAAAAGATGATGGGAATTTTTATACAGATGACAGTTTATGAGATAAAAAATGTAGACATATTCATTTGGACGCTCATTTGATTTATTTCCATCTTCCTAAGTGAAAATTAAGAGGGCAGGTAGAACATGATAAGTTCTTGTCATTTTACATATGCCCCCTACTTCTACCTCGAAAGATTAAAAAAAAATTAATGTATATGTAGATTATCAATGGAAATTTTCATTGAGGATAAGGTGAGGGGGTAAACTAGTTGAGCTCCTGATACATGTGCACGAAGGATAACATATGCGTAATTTAGGAGTGATAAGATTTATTATAATTGTTGATTCAAAGGGGTATGTAATCATATCCTATAAAGTGGAAGAGAATATGAGTTTCAGATATATTAGCACACAAATAGTTTGATTTCAAGCTATTTAGTGGGAGAACATTGATAAGTATGAGATTAACATGTCTACTAACATATGGGGTTTAATGTCTATACCATACACAAGCTCAAAAAATCAGTAAGTATTAAGTAACATGAATCAAGGGAAAAACATATAATTTGGTTCTGATATTTTCCGGGCAAACTTATTATTCTCCCAAAATATTTAAAAATAATTTGTGAAACCGTTAGTTGTGTGCCTTGTCATTACCTTAAAGAATGGTGGTCATACCAACTAGGTGGAATTCTTGTATCAGATACTTATTACAGCATCCGACCTTCACTTCTCGCACGTTATCCCTACAAAAATTTTAAGAGAAAAGCTTATGTATTTGTTTCAGGCATCCTCTTCAGTGCAGCAAGCCAGTGCTCTTGACACAACATACAGCAACTCGGATCAAATGCTGTTAAGCATCCAGAGCAACTTGAGCTTCTCTTCTGCAAATATATGCCCAAATATGCCGCTCTCGCTGCCGAGCTTGAGTGGAGAAAGTAGAGTCGCCGATTACCAAGACTGTGGAGTATCTCCGATGTTTCTTGGCATTGAATCTCCGTGGGAGCCAAATGTCGAAGGTAACTGTCCTCAAGCTAGGAAAGAAGCAAAGATTAGATACAATGAGAAGAAGAAGAACAGAACGTAAGTTCTTTTAGTATCTGATTCCATGCTCTTTAAATCATTTCTTTCGTCCGATACGTTAGCGACCATACACTTTATATACAGTTGGACATTCAATATTGTCCAAAAAAACATGGGATATGGTGTTAATGCACATAGGATATTTGTGTTCATGACTGAAGAAATTAAAAATTTCCAGGAAATTAGTTATAGAGTTTGTTAAGAATCATTCATGAATTATAATATAATTTATATATCTTAGAAATTAATTAACTACTAAATAAATAACATGAAAAATTGTATAAAAATAAGAATTATATCTAGTTTGCTGTTGCATTAGATAACTTTCTTTGTGAGTTACACTCTATACCATCCTTTTAGTATAAACCTTATTTCTCATGTTATATAAAAAGCTCTAGATCTGTTTAACAATTGATTATAGATTTGTTTAGGTAAATTTCACATAACCCCCTTTAACTTTAGCTGATTTTGAGACAGTCCCCTAAACTTTAAAGATGTCACTAACAGTGTGATGAAATGGTAAATACGACCAAAGTACCCTTTTCAAATTAAACCCTAATTGTTTTTATTTATCATCAAGTGCTTACTTGAATCCTTTAATTGGACCAAACTCAAGGTGATTTTGTGACGATACCTTTAAAGTTATTGAGAAGAACATGAAAGGTTAGGGACATTGTGGTCATTTGGATGCACGTGATTTTCATATGCACAATTAGATCTAACATTGTTAGTTAGCAGTGTTATCTGACAAACTTAAGGGAGGTTAAGTGATATTTCTAAATTTTGGGGGGTCATCTTAAAAGTAGCCAAATTAAGGGGTTTTGTGTATGTTTCCCTATTTAACGTATATAATATTGTATATGTTGTACATAAACATAAGTATACACATATAAAAGTATCCCCCCACACCCCGAAATCCCCACCCCTTTTTTGGGAAATGCATATCTCTCATGTCTGTATCACGTCTCTGGCCCTCTTATTTATGACCCATAGTAATAGAAAAACTCCCCAATGACCCAAAATATGGGACCAACAGGGGGGACATGTGAGGTGTCCCCCTGCTATTGCATAATGAGCTGGCCATCATACACCTCATCTGTCCCCCCTGTTGGTCCCATATTTTGGGTCTCTATAGCAAATAATAACTAGGATTAATGATGCGAATAACTATGAAATTTTGTAGGTTCGGGAAACAAATCAGGTATATTTCGCGAAAAGCAAGAGCAGATACCAGGAAGCGAGACAAAGGTAGGTTTGTCAAAGCCTGTGAGCCTTCTGAGCACACCATTCATTAGCAAGAAATCGTCGAACCTAGTCAAAATGAGCACACGTTTTGGCTCAGGTAATTGATTTACAACGTCTCACGCAAAAATATTTTCTTAATGAAAGCTCGTTCTCATGGTGATGCATTGTCGTTTGCTCGATAATTTTGTCATTGTGAAGTGGCAGCTTATATCTTAAAATGAGGTCTATTAATTAAAAAAAATTTTGTCTTTTTTGCGTCGCAGGGCACAGTCGAGCTTATTTCATTTAGGAATTTGTCGCACTTTCATGCTTCTCCCACCTACCAAATTCTTATTATCATTCTTTAGATTCTCGTTCAGAGTGTCCATTGCACTTGGCTGAGCAATTATTCAGGCCAATGCTGAATAAGTTTTGTTCGTAATCTGTTGAGAAGTTGCATATAATGAAGTTTATTATTGTTTGATTTTTTAAGTAATCTTTGTTTGGAATTAAATCAGTACATTCTGATATACTGCATCCGAAGGGATTTTTCTTGTAGACTGTGAATTTGCGGTACTCTTCAACTGTGTGTTTTTTTTAAGTTAAGTAGGTAATGCCTTTTTTATCATCCTTGTTTTCCTCTAATTTTCTTTTTTAAGGCAAGAAAATGCGTTCTAAGTCTTGTAAAGTGATTAGTTGTAAGTAGTCTCTGTTCGGCAGCACCTCGGCAGCACAACAAGAGAGTCAGGTCGCAATAGGAATTCTCGTTTCACCAATGAAACAAGAACCTTAAGCAAAATATCTCAACAAAGTGGGGTATCAGCTCTTCCTCTCATCAGTTCTAGGACTGACCTGTCGAGGGAACCTAAATAAGTTATTACAAATCACACAAATAGAGAGACAACCAATTTTACGCGATTCGACAGATTGCTTACGTCCACGGGGTAAGGAGGGGGGAGATCTACTATTAGAGGAAGAGAATACAACTAGGGTTTACAATCCAACTTAAACCGTCAACCAAGCTCTCAAATTCCTCACACAAATATCTCTCTCAAAAGACTGTGTTTTTCTTCTTTTGCTATAGCAAAAAAAAACCCTCAGCCGCAAAAATAACTATTACATAGTCGGTGAGAAAGCCGAAATCTAACATTGTCGAGATCTTAGAGTTGAACATTTTTTTATTTCACTCTTTAAATGACAAAAAGGTTGCAATTATCGCGCAATCCCATTCATTTTGTTGGTCAAGTGCGATGTTTGAAGACACCAATCATGTTAGAGATCCAATATCGTAGAAGGCCATGAGTTTATATGGAACTTTATGGTAGTCAGTTGCCAAACATCTCTAGCGAGTTGACAATCCAGGAGAAAGATGCTAAGAAGATTCTACAACGCCAGCAAAAACTTGGTGCATGATTACGAAGGACTGTGTACGTACGAAGATCAAACCAAGAAGACTCCAATTAATTGTAGAAAATTTCCAACCTCTTTTGTCTGATATCTCAGGAAGATGTGTAGTTTCTAATAATATTCATAAGCTCTTGTAGACGTTGTAAAAGATTCAGAGTCCGATCCAATCCTCCATGGATAGAGATATTTGAGAGCTAAAAATGTTGTAGTCACCCACACGAAATTTCAATATGGCTTCATGACGGTCTCAATGATAAGATAATTCAGATTAATTTTGGATTACATTTATATTCTGCCAATTCAATTATCAACATGAAAATTTAAATTGGGTGTAGCCATTTAAACAAGCATTGAAGAAAATAAATAATCACAGTGCTAAAGATTAGAGATATAAGTAAGCAAAAACTATCAAAGTGGAACCGATGAACAAATTTTAGTAAGGATATAAGCCAAATATACTTAATCGTGATATTTAACCACGTGCATTGCACATGCATAAAACCTAGCAAGAGCTGATGTACTTGTTTGGTCTACAGCAAGGGAAAGCAACCTAGGAAATGTTGTAGTCACCCACCCGATGGTCAAGCCAACGATTTGGAAACTTATATCAAGATATAAATATTGTGGAAAATTAATGCCAAAAATCCATGCTTCTCACTAACATAAAAATCCAAATTAATAATACACATATAATATATACATTAATTAATATGTATGTGTTGGGAAATTACTTAGATTCTCCTATTATCAGATTTAAGAGAAAGCGAAATAAATACGCAAAAAATAGGACACGCAAGATTTACGTGGTTCGACACAAACTTGCCTACGTCCACGGGCTACTGCAGATCTTTCACTATGAAGAGAAATTTTACAACACTCTCACAATTTTCTCACAACCCAATCCCAACTCTGAAAATTGCTCACAATTTTCTCTCACAAAGACTTTTCTCTAAGCCTCTCTTTTCTCTCTCTTGCTCTTCTATAAGAGGAGTTGTTTCTGGGATGATTTTTTCTTGAAGAATTGTGGGCCTATTTATAGTGTTTGAGAGAACACTATGCATCAATAAAAAATATTATTTCCTGTGGTGGGGCTCGCAGTGGGGCCCACCCACCTTTTTCTTTGTCAAAAAACTCGGCACCGAATTCGGTGATGGGATTGAGAGGTGATGGTGGTTTTGGCTTTTGGTGGCAGTCAATTTTAACCAACAATCTCCCACTTGAAGACTGATTTCAATCTGTCTTCACATCTCAATCTATGCAGCAGCTCTTCACCGTCTTGATACTATTGCAGGCCAACTGAAGCTGAACACAGTTTTAGTTTGTCAGTAGTCACCGTCTTTGTCAGCATGTCTGCCGGATTTTGAGCTCCACTAATCTTTTCAAGCTTCAAAATTCCTAGTCACCGTCTTTGTCAGCATGTCTGCCGGATTTTGAGCTCCACTAATCTTTTCAAGCTTCAAAATTCCATCTTCCAGAAGTGACCGGATAAAATGCCGGATTTTGAGCTCCACTAATCTTTTCAAGCTTCAAAATTCCATCTTCCAGAAGTGACCGGATAAAATAATATCACATCTGTATGTGCTTCGTTCTGGAATGAAAAGACGTATTCTTCGCTAGATGAATAGCACTTTGACTGTCGTAATATAAGACATTGTCTTCTTGCTTCTTGCCTAACTCATCCAAGAAACTTTGAAGCCAAACCATTTTCTTGCTGGCTTCTGTAACATCGACATATTCTGCTTCAGTTGTGGAGAGAGCAACTATCTTTTGCAGTTGAGAAACCCAACTCACTACTGTACCTCCTAGAGTATGGACATACTCTGTAGTGCTCTTTCTGATATCAACATTTCCTGCTAAATCAGCATCCACATAACCTGTTAGTATTGTATCTTCACCTTTGAAACAAAGTGTTTTACCTGTGGTACCCCGTAGATATCTGAAGATTCATTTGACTGCTTCCCAGTGTACCTTGCCTGGATCATTCATGTACCTCCTAACAGCTCCCACTGCTTGAGCAATATCTGGTCTTGTACAAATCATAACATACATCAGACTTCCAATAGCTGAGGCGTATGGGACCTTCGCCATGTGTGCAAGCTCTTCCTCTGTCTTCGGTGACTGCTCTTTGGAAAGTCTGAAATGAACACCTAAAGGTGTACTCACTAGTTTCGCATCTTGCATGTTGAACCTGGAGAGTACTTTATTGATGTATTCAGCCTGTGATAATATCAAAGTCCTAGACTTCGTGTCTCTCTTGATCGTCATTCCAAGAATCTACTTTGCAGCGCCAAGATCTTTTATTACGAACTGCTTCGACAATTTTTGCTTTAAATTTATAATCTCTTGCAGATCTGAACCTGCAACGAGCATGTCATCAACATATAATAATGAAGCTATTGTCAAACCTCTTGAGATAGCAACAATAATCTGCTTGACATCTAGTGAAACCGCTGCTACCCATAAAGCTGTCAAACTTCTTGTATCACTGTCTGGGAGCTTGTTTTAATCCATACAAGCTCTTTTTCAACCGGCATACTAAATTTTCCTTGCCTGCCTTTATGAAGCCTTCTGGTTGCTTCATATAAATCTCCTCCGTCAAATTACCATAAAGGAAAGTTGTTTTTATATCTAACTGCTCAAGATGTAAATTCTTAGCAACTATAATTTTTAACACCAGTCTGATTGTAGTCAGTTTCACGATCGGAGAGAAAAATTCATTATAGTCAATACATTCCTTTTGCTGAAAGCCTTTGACAACCAACCTTGCCTTGTAGCGCTTGTTCCCATCATATTCTTCTTTGATCCTGTAAATCCACTTGTTATGAAGAGCTTTCTTACCTGGTGGTAATTCAGCTAAGTCTTTCTTCTTTGATCCTGTAAATCCACTTGTTATGAAGAGCTTTCTTACCTGGTGGTAATTCAGCTAAGTCTCACGTCTGATTTGACATTACCTGGTGGTAATTCAGCTAAGTCTCACGTCTGATTTGACATAAGCGAGTCCATCTCATCTTGCATAACAGACCCCCACTTGACTGAATCCTTCATATCCATTGCTTCACCATAACACTCCGGTTCACCACTGTCAGTCAGCAACAGGTAGTGCAAAGAAGGCGAATAACTCTGGGTTGGCTTAGGAATTCTGGAGGAGCGTCTCACTTCTGGCGTGCTTGGTTCTTCTTGAACTACTTCAGGGCTAGTATGAACATCCTTCTCAGAAATCTCATCAAATTCAGCAAATTCCTTTGTTTCAGCTTTTGTACTGGAGCTACTTGATTTTGCAGTTGATCTGTCTTTATACATCACATTCTTATTGAATATGTATCTCTGCTTCTGATGATCTTCCCATTTTCATAATCCCAAAATTAATAACCAAACTCATCACCACTATAACCAACAAAAACACATTTGTTAGATTTGGCATCAAGTTTACTTCTTTCAGCTGAATCTATGTGTACATAAGAGATACAACCAAAAATTCTTAAATGTGCCAGGTTTACCTCTTTTCTGCTCCAAGCTTCTTCTGGTATTCTACCATCCAAGGGAACTGAGGGTCCGCGGTTGATTCGGTAGGCTACGGAATTGATAGCTTCAGCCCGTAGGAACTTGGGCAGTCCGGCATGTATCCTCATGCTTCTGGCACGTTCATTCAAAGTTCTGTTCATGCGCTCCGCTACACCATTCTGCTGTGGGGTCATGGAAACTGTTTTCTCTATCTTGATTCCGTTGTTTGCGCAAAATTCTTTGAATCTATTGTCTTTGTACTCTCCTCCTTTGTCTGACCTCAACCGTTTTATCTTCAGACCAGTTTCATTTTCTACCACGACCTTCCATTTTCTGAAGGTATCAAACACTTCTGATTTCTTCTTCAGAAAATAGACCCATACATTCATTGTAGAATCATCAATGAAGGTGACATAGTACAGTGAGCTTGCAAGAGATGAAACTGGAGATGTCCCCATACGTCGGTATAAACCAATTCTAACATTTCTATCTTGGGTGCCTTGCCAATCTTTACAAAACTAACTTTTTTCTGTTTGCCAAAGATGCAATCCTCGCATAGGCCGACATCTACATTCTTCAGATCCGGCAGCTTCCCTTTTGACAAAAGTGTCTTCATCCCTTTC